AACCAAGCCCTGCCCTAAATTTTATTGACCTTCAGGTGAGGCACAGGGCTAGGTATACCTCAAACGGAAAAGAGAAACAATTCAGCACACTTTCCCATTAGCACAGTCTCGGTAACGCTCAATCACTCACGAAACACAAGAACTGGAGCCCCTTACTAGGCTCGGTTGAGAGAATCAAGGGAAAGCTCCCGAATAGGATAGCTAAAAATTAATATAAACAGAAACCCTCCTTAAAAGACACGTGCGACAAGCGGCCCTGCACATGCGCAGAGCTTTCTCTCCTGCCCCGCTAGTAGTCAACCACATCTGTGACCCTCGAAACTACAAGTCCCAAGGTGCTGTGCGTCCAGGACGCCAAAAGCGATTTATTCGTGGTGCTGGGCTAGTCCCTCGGAAGACTCCAGGGAGGGTTAAATTTGTTTTTTTCATCTTCTTTTTCTTGGGAGTGGGTGTGTGTTTGATCAAACATGGGCATTGATTCCGAGTAGAGGACATGTGGAGTAAGTATGGACTGCAAACCGTTTGATACTTTTTTAAAAATGTGTTCAAATGGCATGTGACAACTTCCACAGCTGGTTCTCACTGTGGGTACTAGAGACTGAACTCATGTCTTCAGGCATTTGTGCGTGCTCCTTGATCCACCAGGTCATCTCACTGCCACCCCCCTTTTTTTTTTGGAGACAGGGTTTCTCTGTATTGTTTTGGAACCTGTCCTGGAACTTCCTCTGTAGACCAGGCTGGCCTCGAACTCACAGAGATCCGCCTGCTTCTGACTCTCTAGTGCTGGGATTAAAGGCGTGCGCCACCGGCCCATTCTTAAAATCTCTTGCAGAGCGGGGGCGTTGGTGGCGAACGCCTTTAATCCCAGCACTCGGGAGGCAGAGGCAGGCGGACCGATGTGAGTTCAAGGCCAGCTTGGTCTCCAGAGGGAGTGCCAGGATGGGCTCCAAAGCTACACAGAGAAACCCTGTCTCGAAAAACAAACAAAAAAATCTCTTGCTGAGGCAGGGTCTACCTGTGTTGCCCAAGCTGGCCTCCAACGTGCAAACTTCTTGCCTTATCCTCCTGAGGGCACAAGTGTGACCACAAGAGAGTTTTTAATCAGGACAAGTTTCCTGACCTGTTTTTTGCTATTTTGATCCAGTGTTTTCTTTCCTGTATTGCCCAGGCCAATGTTAACCCACCTCAGCCTTCTCGATAACCACAGCTGAGCACCACTTTACTAGGGTCTCCCTTCTGCTTTTGGGCACTTAGTCCCTGCCACGAGGTTTCCAAATAGTATTTTCCTATGCAATCCTCACAGTGGCCCTATGCACCCAATATTTACTTGAGTTCAACTAAAAGCATTTAGATCATGCCCAACTTTGTATCTGATGGGAGAATATAAACTCTCAGCCTACAGAAGTCTCACCACAAACACTTGGTGTTTAGAATGTGTAACTCATGGTCTCTGCAATGTTTACCTAACATACACAAGGCCTTGGGTTCCAGCTTGGCCATCCAGTGTCTGGGAAAGGCTGGAAAGGAAAGTGGCTAAACAGGTTAAGGCACTCATTACACCAGACAACTGAAGTGCCACCCCACATGGTGCAAAGAACACAAATGACTTAGGGCAAGTGCACTGAATGCCACGTGTGCCCCCTTTCCCACCCGCGCACACACACACAAGTGTACTTTTCTGAAAAATGTTACAAGGGCTAGAAAGATGCCTCATGTGTTTCTCTTGCAAAGGACCTCAGTTCAGAACCCAGGACATACAATCAGGAAACAAGGAACCACCTGTAACAGCTTCAGAGAAACTAAGCCCAGGTCCTCTACAAAAGCAGCAAACGCTCACAACCAGGACACCATCTCTCCAGCTCCAGTCTAATTTTTAAACAAGGCTTCCAAGATGTAGGTCAATGTTAAGTGTGTGTGCTACCATGCACCAGAAGATAGGTTCTATCCAAGTATAAAACACAGCCTGTAAACATAAGCTAACTTCTCTCAGAGAACCAATGAAAGTAGCTCTAATCCGTCAGTCAACTGTACAGATATCTTCTTTCGCTTTTTGCAGTCATGGACTCTATATCAAATACCAGACTAAGCTACACTCCAGCCTTGGCTCTTTACAACTTGAATTTAAAAATTATTCCCTATCTGTAAAAATAGAAGAGCAGACGATGGTGGTGGTGCACACCTTTAATCCCAACACTCGGGAGGCAGAGGCAGGTGGATCTCTGTAAGTTCAAGACCAGCCTGGTCTACAAGAGCTAGTTCCAGGACAGATTCCAAAGCCACAGAGAAACCCTGTCTTGAAAAACCAAAGAAAGAAAAAGAAATGCAGAGCAACTGGCTAGAAAGATGGCTCAATGGTTAAAGGCACTTAGTGCTCTTCCATAAAACCAGAGTTCAGTCCCCAGCACCCTTGTCAGGTGGCTGACAACTGGCTCTAACTCCAGCTCCAGGGGATTCAACGCTTCTGTCTGTACACATATGGCCGATACACATACAAATGGAAAAAAAAAAAAAAAACTAAAAAGGATAAGTGATTTATACACAATCACACAGCTAACAAGCACAAAAATAGGTGGAAGAGGGCTCTGACTCAGCCCAAATTTGTACCTGAATTTCCTTTCACTTGTCCTAAGTCATACACCTGGTTAAAATCTGTGATCGGAAGGGCCTGGATTTCAGCTCGCCCTGCTTATTGACACACTCCAGAATAGAGGCCAAGATGCTGTAGTGGTGACCTACTTGTGTCTATGGGTGCTTAAGATCCAACTTTTTCAGGCTTCCTAGGAGACAGCCACACGTTTTTACTCTGTTAGCTTGCGTTTCCTCCCCCATCCTCAACCCCCCACTCCTTTGAAGACCTATGAATTCTAGATTTTTTTTTTTTTAAGATTTATTTATTTAGGGCTGGAGAGATGGCTCAGAGTTAAGAGCACTGGCTGCTCTTCCAGAGGTCCTGAGTTCAATTCCCAGCAACCACATGATGGCTCATAACCATTGGTAATGAGATCTGGTGCCCTCCTCTGGTGTTCAGATATACATGGAAGCAGAATGTTGTACACATAATAAATAAAATCTAAAAGAAAAAAAAAAAGATTCAAAAAAATTGATTTATTATGTGTACAGTGTTTGGCTCCAAATCTCATTACAGATGGTTGTGAACCAACATGTGGTTGCTGGGAATTGAACTCAGGACCTCTGGAAGAGCAGCCAGTGCTCTTAACCTCTGAGCCATCTCTCCAGCCCCAAATTCTAGATCTTCATACCTATTGTTTCCTCTGCCTGGAGCACTTTTGAGGCCCTTCCACACTGACTGAGATCTGAAGTAAATGTTATCCTCTCAGGCTGTCAACCCTGACCAACTTTATTTTTTGTATGTGGTTTTAGGGAGAGAGCCTACATGAGACAAGGGTTACCCTAAACTGATACAACTGCCTCCACCTCCCAAGCACTGAGATCATTGGCATGAGTCACTATGCCCAACTCCTACATCGTATGTGTTAACTGAGTGAATGAAGAGTGCCTTCAAACTGCTTTGACAGAAAGGTCAGGGGAACTATCTCAACATTCCAGGATCATAGCTGTCTGTCTTTCCTCAAGTCCCATCAGAACTTACCACTGTCCAACCTGTCCTTATAGTGTCTGAGACCCTTTCTCACCTCCTTCCCACCAGACTTTGATCAAATGTCACCTAAGGAGGCTAGAAAGATTGCTTAGCTGTTAAAAGGATTGCTATTTTCCCAGAGGACCCAAGTTGAGTTCCTAGCAACTACATAGCAGCACACAACTAACTATAACTATAGTTCCAGAGGATCTGCTGCTCTATTCTGGCCTCCACAGATACCAGGCATGCATGTGGTACACAGACATACATGCAAGCAAAAAGTAAATACTTGCCAGGCAATGGTGGCACACACCTTTAATCCCAGCACTCAGGAGGCAGATGCAGGCAGACCTCTGAATTTGAGTCTAGTCTAGTTTACAGAGCAAGTTCCAGGACAGGCTCCAAAGCTACATGAAGAAACCCTGTCTTGAAAAAACAACAAAAAAAAACAACAACAAAAAAAAAAAAAAAAAAAAGGAAATACAAGAAAAAAAAAGAAAAAGAAAACAAAAAACTTTTAAAAAACGGTGACAAAATGGCTGGCGAGATGCCATAGCCATTAAAATGTTAGGCTCACAACCAAAAATATATAAAGTGTTCTAAAACAGATATCCCTTCCCCACAAGCTTCTATCCTATCCTTGTTAGTAGTTAGTAGTACTTGTTAGTAGTCATCACCCAAAAAGCCTTCCCCTTTTTCTTCCCATCTGTCTCCTATAAGGACAGAGAGAATGTCAGCTGTTTCATGCTCTGGTTCCCATAGTCCAGAACAATCCTGGCATATAGTAAGTGCTTAGCAAGTATCTAGGGAATAAATAAAAAGCAGCTTTGTGTCAGGCGGTGGTGGCGCACGCCTTTAATCCCAGCACTCAGGAGGCAGAGGCAGGAGGATCTCTGTGAGTTCTAGGCCAGAGCGAGTGCCAGGATAGGCTCCAAAGCTACACAGAGAAACCCTGTCTCGAAAAACCAAAAAAAAAAAAAAAAAAAGACTAGTGCATTCCACAAACGTGGAGTGTTGGAGATTGAACAGCACCTTGTGTGTACTAGGCAAGCACACTTACACTTATGTACAACCGAAGTCACAGCTAAACTGAGGTTTGTGAAGAGACTTGGAAGATAGTACATATCCATACCATGCTGCCAAGGCAGGAGACAAACCCTGTGCACAAAACAAAAACATAAACACAAGGAAGGCAGGACTTTAAGTACCACAGTTACTAAGGAGGGAGGGAGGGAAGGAAGGAAGGTGTCTTGAGAATGTAAGGAGCAGCATGTGCTCCTGCCTACAGAACCCTCCCTTTGTCCTTCACAAAGAGTCCACCCCAGCACTGGTACATGTGGTAGCCACTAGTGAGCAAAGTCTTAGCTTTGAGATCGCAAAGATGATAAACCAAGCACACAACTCCAGCACTAAATCAGGTTCTTTACTTCTCAGAAGTGACTGCTAAAAGGAGAGAGACAGCAAGAAGAGACAGACAGAGCCAGAGAAAGCGAGGTGGTAGGAAGAAAGGGGACAGTAAACCACTGGTCTAGTAAGTCTCAGGAGGCAAGTGCTCAAGGTAAAAAAAGAGTCCTGGAGAATGGTCTGCGGCCATGGGAAGCGCCTTGGTTTCCTTCTGTGTATCAGTCCTCCAGGAAGGCCGCTGCCATTACCACATTAAATAGTTATGTACATCGCAGAGAGTCCCAGGTAATGAGCACCCGGGAAGGGGTCATTTCACCAGGGGCCGAGTTTTATCATCATCACCGCACTGGTGGGCTTTGTACTTTTTCACTTCTGCCATGTACTTGGCCCATGCGTCACCTTTACTTGTTAATACCTGTGGGGTCGGAGGAAGGGAGGAATGGTTGGAAGATAGATGCCCAAGAAGTTAGGGACATGAGTCAGGAATGCCATGAGACAACTAACCCATCCCCAATGTCACCCTAAAGCCCTGGATTTCAGGTGAAATTGAGCAGAAGCAGGTTATGGTGGGTCGGGACCTCCCACCCTACCACGCCCACCCATCCAAACAGAGCTGACCACTGGGCATTGAGTCTGGAAGGAAAAAGCAGTTAGGGTGGCACCCCTAGCAAGCCCACTCACCTCATCCTCCGTCTTCTGCTTCTTGGCTACTATTCCCGTCTTGAGGGCTAGTTTGTTCCCGCCTCTGCGCTTGCCCACCTGGGTGAAGGGACAGAAGACTGCAAGGGTTACAGGAGCCGGGCCCGCCCTTGGCGGTGCTGAGGCCCACTACACCTTCCTATCGACGCCTCGCCCAGCTCCTCCAGCCAGCCGACCTGCGCAGCAATCAGAGAGGAGCACACTCGACTCAGCACCTGCCCTGGGCTGCCATGCCCAGGCAGTCCTGGGCCCCAGGCTACCCTCCCAGGGGGCCAGAGGAGTGCTCACCTTACTGGGGACTGGCTACGCCCTCACTCTTTCTGCCCAGGCCTGACCCTGTCCTGGCAGGGATCACATGGGTGGCAATACCTTTATTGAGCTTCACTATATACCCAGCCTTATATATCACACACAGAGTGCTGTGTCCATGGTATCTCCTCTCACATTCAGTTACATTATTTGAAAGATAGTAACTTTTAGAGATAGAGACAAGTGTCTGGGAGGGACAGGGCAGACTGCAAACAAGGGAGCAAAACCAGGGATACAGTGGTGCAAAGCCAGTGGGAGCATCCTGAACCACACCCCTAAATCTCCCGCCTTGCTTTTTTGTTGTTATTGTTTTTTGAAGATAAGGTTTCTCTATAAAACAGTCCTGGTTGTTCTGGAACTCATTCTGTAGACCAGGCTGGCCTTGAACTCAGAGATCTGCCTGCCTCTGCCTCCACCACCACCACCACCACCACCACCACCACCACCACCACCACCACCACCACCACCACCACCACCACCTAGCTGGCCTGGCTTTTTGAGGAGTGTAACTATAATGGCTACTCCTGAACAAATAGAAATAACAGTAACACTACTGCTGCTCCCATTCCTGGAAAAGATTTCATCCTCTACTCTTAAACATCACATCAACCTAAGTCCTATCACTTTCTACTTCCTCTAAGAACAGATGGGAACCTTGGTAAACCATCTTCTCCCCTTAACTGAGGGCCTCCAAGACATCATCCTGTACTCACCCTTCAACTAGACATCAGTTAGTGCTGGGACTATCTCCTCCCCAATCACAACTTTTCGTGTAGCACTGCAGATGCAATCTAGGGTCTCAAGCACTTGAAGCTATCTACTATGGAGCTAAATTCCCAGACCTCTTGATTTTATTTTAAGACAGGTCTCACTAAATTGCTCAGGCTGGCTCTGAATTCATTCTGTTCTTAAGATCCTCTGGTCTCAGAGTAGCCGAGATTATAGAAACACACTACTGTACCCAACCACTCAAACATAGCCTTTTCGTTGTTTTTAGAAACAAGTTATTGCTATGTAACCTTGGCTGAACTCAAACTCTGCAATCCTCCTGTCTCATCCTCCACAGTGCTAGGATTGATTACACATATGCATTGCCTTGTCTGGCTCACATACCCTTTTAAGAGCTAAAGAAACTTAAGCCTTGCCCCAAACCACAGAGCTGGATCCAGGACTTGACCCTCAATGTCATCCTCAAACCAACATTTCTCCCTCCCCACTATAGGACCTCTAACTCAACACCGGAGACAAAGCAAGCTCACAACTAACAAAAATTATATATCCAATTTATTTAACTCAGAGCTCCTCAACCTGGTACTCTAGACATTTTCAGCTAGATCATTCTTTGTTATCCCATGCACTGTAGGATATTGAACAGCATCCTTGTACCTACCCATAGATGTCACTAGCATCTCCTCTCAGAGTTTTAACAACCAAAATGTCTACAGACTTTACCAAATAAATACACAAGGGTGAGGAGACTTGTCCCCAATAGAGAACCACTGGTCTAGTTCTTTCTGTAGAGTCTGTACTGACTTTTCTATGGAATACTCACATTAAAAGGTGAAATTACGGCAATTGTTAGAACTACAGAAAATCAGGGTAGGCAACCCAGGCTCCAAACAAACAGCGATCTTTTCTGTCAAATTCACCACTGAATACCCAGCACAAGGTGCTCAATTAACGGAAAATAGTTAAATGATATAGAAAGGAATCGAATGATCTTCCTAAGGCCACAAAGTCAGTGATTTGCTTTTTCTTGTTGGTTGGTTTTGTTTAATTCGGACAGGATCTCACTTTCCAATCCTCAATCTTCTTGAATCCGGAGTGCTGGTATTGCAAGGCGTGTGCCACCACGCCCGGCTACGGTCCGTGGTCTGAGTCTAACGAATGCAGCAGACTCAAAATTTGAATTTGTCCCTTCCTTTTCCCCAGATTGTGTTTGGGTACCCACTAATCAAAGTCTGGGTACAAATCAAACAGGAATCCTAGCATCTAGGGTCTCCTATCCCCAGAGTGCTGCTTCCAATGCAATTCCCGGTTCCCAGGTTCCACGAGTAAGATCTGGGGGTTCCCACGACCTCCCAGAAACACCTCTCGTCCGGAATCCAGGTACAACGTTCTCAGCAAACGACCGGGACCGTCGGGGCATCCCGGCGGAGAACTGCCTTGGACCCTGACGCCCCTTCCCGGGTCCGACTCCCCCTGCCAACACGGGCCCCGGCGCCCGCCCCCACCCCCGCGGCTCCTTACGAAGCTGAGCGTGGGGCCTGGGCCGCCCTTCCTCTTCGGATTCCCAGGGCCCGCCGCGGCGGAGGCCGATGGGTCGGGTCGCTGCGGGCCCGGGGGTGGCTCCTCCTGCCGCTGCCGCTGCTCCTCCTCCATCTTCCGCTTGAACAGCTCCAGGAAGCTGCCGTCGTTGGCGAACAAGTTCACACCACCGGACACCGGACTTGAGCCCGACACCTCGTCGTCCCCGCTCTCGGGTGACGTTCCCGGCCCCGACTCAGCCCATCGGCTCCTGCCGCCGCCCGCCGGGCCGGGCACCTCCCGACTCGGAGGCTCCGCCCGTCTCCCTCGGGCAGCCATTTTGTCGCCAGGTGCCGCGCAAGGGACTTCGGGAAAGGATCTCAGACCGCGCGCTTGGCGCGGGACTGGCTTCGTCTGGAGCACTGCATGCTGGGAAGAGAGGTCTGATCCCAGAAGCCAACGCGGAGTGGGCGGGACTTGGGCGGGGCAAAGGTGCTCTGACCTGGCGACCAGTGGGTGGAGCCTAGAAGCCGGGTTCCTTGCCTTCTGTTCCTCGGATTTCCCTAATCCTGCCAGACAGAATGGAACCATCGTCTGGGGCCCGCGATCCCTCTAAAGGCTGAGAGCACAATCATAGTCGGCCACCAGAACTCTGTAATTGAAAGAATGTTGTTTGCGTACACTTGGGAACTTGGGTGGCCCCTAACTAGGTCTAGAAAGCATATCTGTCTGACTCGGCACCTCCTATTAGAAACGGGAGCTTCTCTAGACCGGGCATCTGCCTCGGCATTTAATCTCTTACCTTTAAGTAAGGATACTGCTGGCTGCGTGCAGCTAGACGCCCTGTCTGAGAGTCGTAGTATTTTACAAGTTGAGCACTCAAATGAAGCCGGAGATATTTCCAGCCTGATCCTTCTCTTAAGACTTAATGTTCTGAGCTGGGTTCTGCACCAAGGGACTAAGAACCCTCCTCGTACTCTTCCCCGAGGACAGGGACTCAGTTCAGACAGCACTGGCTAGACTTGGAGCACACACGTGTGCACGGGGATGGGGGTGAGCAGAGCGCCAAGCGCAGCTAGAGTTTCGGAAGTTAAAGTTCTCTCGACTGTGACAAATAGCACTCCTGCCCAGCATGGGTATTCCGGGCACACGGGACAAAGGTCTGCGTGCTCTGCCACAAATGGAGTCTCTTTGCCTTTTAGCGACCCTACTAACCATTTCGTTCGTGATCGTTTTGCGGCCGGAGTCAGGTGGCTCACAGCCAACAGAGTAACTGGCGGACAAGAAGAGACGTTGAGGTCCAAAGCAGAAAGAAAGAGGGAAAAGATAATCAGGAAACGGAGCCTATAGAATCGAGGCAAGAGACACCTCTGCTGTAACTTCGTTCAAAGAGCTTAGACAGGATGTTTGGCTGGTTGCTAAGGAGACAGAGGTTGACGCCCACAGGGACTTGAGCGTGGCTAGCGGAAGTAAGACGGGATGCAGCCAATGGAAAGAGTGCCGCAAGACGGAGGACCCAATCAGTGAAGGGCACTACCGTGGGTCACACCACTACGCTCACAAGGCAGGGGAATTCTTAGAAAACTGCAGGCGAAAGTTCACCAAGGGGAACCTTCGACGCATAAAACGGGAAAATACAGCGTCCATTGTCCCCAAGTGTCAACTCAGGAGGAAAATAAGTCAGACTTCCAGCCTGCACAGGGATGTGGCAGACTCATTTCCCCTGTAGTTGCTTAGGACGTGGTGCGTTCCGCTTGATCACGTGAGCCGGCTCCAAGATGGCGGCGGGGGTGGCCGGGTGGGGGGTTGAGGCAGAGGAGTTCGAGGATGCTCCTGACGTGGAGCCGCTGGAACCCACGCTTAGCAATATCATCGAGCAGCGCAGCCTTAAGTGGATCTTCGTCGGGGGCAAGGGTGGCGTGGGTAAGACCACCTGCAGGTAAGGAGGCTCTGGTGGGGCCAGGAAGGCGGGTGGGATGTACCACCGGACGAAGGGGAGGACAGGGACCGGCCTTTTCATCCCAAGCGGGGCAAAGCGAGCTGAGCGGGGCTCTTCGGGGTTGTACTCTCGGGAAGTTACGGCAGCTTGCCGAAGATACCTCCTAAATGCAAGCCTGGCGTTCTGGGTTGGATTATCCCTCGTTGGGCCTTGTGAATCCAGCGCGTGGGGTGTGCAGAGGAGCATTTAAATACCGCAATCGGATGGACAGTCCCCCCAGGAAGTTCAGAGTAGAGGCAGGGACACCAGTGGAAGCTGTTATAGTATGACGAACCTTCCATTTGATGCCCAGCGCGGGAAGGAGTAAAAGGCACATAATTACAGTCCATTGAGAGGTGAAGTACATTGTTGTCCCTGAGCAAGTGGAGTGAGTGAAGTAGAGCAGTCTGTGCTGGCTGTGCAGCTGGACTGTGCCACTGTATGCCAAAAAGGCAGAAGCAGGCACTCAAACAAGCCGAACCAATCAACTGAAAACTGCACACCAGTCCAGTCCAAATGGAAGGGTCAGGTGGTGATCTCTGCGGGTATCAAAGCATGATCTCAATGGGACCGGTACTTTGCTTTTAAGGTCTGCCTGATCCAGGTCTCTGTGGCCCGACCTTGCATTTCCTGTTATAAACCCACACTACCAAAGCTGGCTCCTCACTTCTTGTCTTCCCACCTTTCTTCTGTGCAGCTGCAGCCTAGCGGTCCAGCTGTCTAAAGGACGTGAGAGTGTTCTAATCATTTCCACAGACCCAGCCCACAACATCTCAGATGCTTTTGATCAGAAGTTCTCCAAGGTGCCTACCAAGGTCAAAGGCTATGACAACCTCTTTGCTATGGTAAGCTAGCTGGGGGCCTCTCAGGCTGAGGTTCCCCCCCCCCTTTTTTTTTTTTTGGTTTTGTTTTAATGACAGGTGCATGCCTTATACCCATGCAGGCCAGAAAAGGGTATCAAATCCCCTAATACTGGAGTCGCAGATGGTTATGAGCCACCATCTGGGTGCTGGGAATTGAGCCCAGGCCCTCAGGAAAGGCAGCCAGTGCTCTTAACCAGTGAGCTCCAACCATAAAGTCTTCTGGGGGCATACCTACCAGCAGCCACCAGGCCATTCATAGTCTACATATTCATCTCTTTGGTGTGTCCCTGTCCCCATCCCCCCAGAGGGACATGTGGGAAGGAAACCTTTAAGGAACAGGAAGAAAGATGACAAAATGGAACTAAGCAAGCAAAGGGAGGGAATGAAAAGGAGGAAGACCAACCAGAGGTAAACACTGTGAGGTTTTGCTGGCTGAGCAAGTAGTTTGGCTTTGAGTCAAAGTTTGATAGAAAGCTTTTTTTTGCCAGGCATTGGTGGCGTACACCTTTAATCCCAGCACTCGGGAGGCAGAGGCAGGTGGATCTCTGTGAATTTGAGGCCAGCCTGGTCTCTGGAGCGAGTACCAGGATAGGCTCCAAAGCTACACAGAGAAACCCTGTCTTGAAAAAAAAAGAAAGAAAGAAAGCTATTCTTTTAAAGATTAACTTTATTTTTAATTATATATACAGGGGCCAGAGATATCAGGACTCCCTTGAGCTGAAGTTACAGGCAATTGTGAACTCCCACCCCTATGTAATTGGGGGTCCTCTGGAGGAGCAGTACACATTCTTAACTGCTGAACCATCTCTCTAGCCCCATACTCATGTTTTTGTTGTTGTTATTATTGTGTTGTTGGCAGCGGTGCTGCTGCTGCTGCTGCTTAAGATGAAGCTCAGGGCATCCAGTATGCTAGGCCAGTGCTTAACTGCATCCCCAGCTCTCAAGTTCATAAACTAAAAGAGCTGGACATGGTGGCACATACCTTTCATCCCAGCACTAGAAAAGTAGAGGCAGATAGATCACTGAATCTGAGGCCAGCAGGGCCTGTCATAGGAAGAGCCTGTCTTTAAAAATATAGTAGTACCTGGCCGTGGTAGCTCATGCCTTTAATCCCAGCACTTGGGAGACAGAATCAGCCTGGTCTATAGATAGAGTTCCAGGGCAGCCTCCAAAGCCACAGAGAAACCCTGTCTCGAAAAACCAAAAAAAAGAAAAGAAATCCGTGTCTGGCTGTCATATGGAAACTGGATTGCAAGTCAAGGATGATGTCAGGAAGAGTAACAAGAAAGCTGGGGATTTACTTAGGTCATATCTGAATTTTGTCCATCTGTTTCAATCTCTGTGTGTGTGTGTGTGTGTGTGTGTGTGTGTGTGTGTCTGTGTGTCTGTGTCTGTGTGTCTGTGTCTGTGTGTCTGTGTGTCTGTGTGTGTGTGTAGCATATGCATATATCCATGCCCATGTGCCACTGTAAAGGTCAGAGGACATCTCCATATATTGGTGTTTGCTCTTCCACCACCTTGTTTGAGACTCCCTTGTTTACTGCTGTATACACTAGGCTAGATGACCTGAGAGTTTCCAGGAGTTCTCCACCTCTTATCTCAACAGAGCAGCCTGGGAGTATAGGGTCATTACAGTGTCCACCTTTACATGGGTTCTGGAGATCCAAATTTTGGTCTCCACACTGGTACAATTGCTTTATCCAGAAGGCCTTCTTTTCTTTTTTTTTTTTCTTTGATGTGTGTGTTTGTGTGACTATTTGTAGGTGGCATGGGTTACTTGCATGCAGTGCTTGGAGAGGCATGAAGAAGATTTCAGATCCCCTGAACTAAAGATATAAGTAGTTGTGAGATGACTGATGAGGATGCTGGGAATCAAACCCAAGTTCCCTACAAAAGCAGCAAAGCCTTTAAGCACAAAAGAATCTCTCCAATCCTCATTATTCTGGTTTTCTGCCTCAGTCCCATGTAATCTAGTGTGGCCTCAAATTTGATATGTAGCCAAGGATGACTTTAAACTTCTGATCATCCTCCAAAGTGCTGGGGTGACAGGTATGTGTCATGGTGCCTGCCAAAAATTGATTGGTTTTGCTTCATTTTTTATAGGCACTGACGTATGTTATGTCTACATGAATGAGTGTGCACCAAGTGGAGGCAGTGCCTTCAGTCCCAGAAGAGGGTGCTGGGTCGTCCCCTGGGACTGGATTTATAGACAGTAGTGAACCTCCATGTGGTTGCTGGGAATTGAACCTGGGTCTTCTGGAACAGCAGCCAGTGCTAACCTCTGAGCCACCTCTCTAGTGTCTAAGATTGCTTGGTTTTCCTTTAATGAGGGAAATAGTAACTGGCATTGAGAAATGGGAACGTCACAGGAAAGAAAGAGGGTTGTTGAGACAGAGTTTCAACTATGCTGTCCAGGCTAGCCTTGAACTTATGGACTCAAACGGTCCTCCTGCCTCAGCTTCTAGAGCAGCCTAGTCTGCAGGATCACAGCACCACATCTGGCTTTTGAAGGGCTTGACTGGAAAGATGGTAGTAGGGCATATTTGATGTTGCTGGACGTTGCCAGAGTAGAGAAAGAAAGAAAGAAAGAAAGAAAGAAAGAAAGAAAGAAAGAAAGGCAGAAAGGCATAGTTCTTGAAAGCTGAGCTCTGTTCAGCACACAGAGCCAGGGCTTAGGCTCTGCCAGGGGGGAAAAAGCAGAAGGAAGTATATGGAACTGGGATGCTTCCTGTGACAGGTGAGGTGTTAAAACCAGTGACATTTTGGCTGGGCAGTGGTGGCGCACGCCTTTAGTCCCTGCACTCAGGAGGCAGAGGCAGGTGGATCTCCGTGAATTCGAGGCCAGCCTACTCTAAAGAGTTGAGTTCCAGGACAGGCTCCAAAGCTACACAGAGAATCCCTGTCTTGGGAGGGAAAAAAAAAAAAAAAACAGTGACATCTCATCTTTTCTTTTTAATTTTTTTCCCCAGAAATAAGGATTGGACTCAGAGTCTGGTGCATACTAGGCCAGATTCATCTCTGAACTCGTCAGCCCTTTTTACCTTTCCTTCTCTGTTATTACCACGTGTATGGCTGATCACTTCTCTTCCTCTGCCTTCAGTAGATTCCAGGGTAGAACTGAGGTCTCCAGGCTCATGGAGCAATTTCTTTACTTGCTGAAACTTCTCTCAATGACCTGTTATGGTTTTGTTTGTGCTTTTGATTTGTTGCTGTTTTCAGACTGGGTTTACAGCCAGCGTTAGCTCACTCTGTGGCGTTGACAGATCTTGAAACCTTTCTGCCTCACTCTGCCGAGTACTTGGGATTACAAGCCTATACTGCCAGGCACAGCCAGGGGCTTCCGCAGTGAGTGAGTCAGGAGACATTTGATGAGGGGGTGGGGTAGTGGGCAGAATTGTGTGGCTTTTCAAGCAGCCATTGGAGCTCTGTCATTAGGAATGGGGGCAGGTATGACTGATGAGGTGTATTTTTGCCCCCAAAGTAGCAATACCAAACAGCTAGGGAAAAGCAGAGTGGGGAGCCTGTCAACAGCAAAGTAGGAGAGTTGACATGAGCTACCCAACAGCCTAGGCTGGGAAAGGGAGCAGGGAGCCAACACTGGGACTATATCTCAGTAATAGAGCTCCTGCTAAAATCAACCAGACAGAGGCTGGGGCCATGGGGCCAAGTGTCCAGCTAGAAGCTACCTTTAAGGGGCTTGAGAATTTTTCAGTGGTAAAGGCCCTACTTAAAATCTCCCAGTGAGCCAGGTGGTGGTGGCACACACCTTAAATCCCAGCACTTGGAAGGCAGAAGGAGGTGGATCTCAGTAAGTTCTAGGCTAGCCTGCTCTACAAAGCGAGCTCCAGGACAGCCAGGACTGTAACACAGAGAAACCCTAACTGGAAAAAAACAAAAACAAGAATCTCCCAGTGAGTGGCTGAAGGCATTACTTGATAGGGGCGTTGGCCTAGCCTGCATCTTTAGCTCTTGGTTCCATCTGAAACACCCCCCACCAAAAAAATAAAAAATAAAAGGGACAGCAAACGGCAGGGGAGAAAAGATCAGGGTGAGGTACAGAGAGTAACTGGAGCTAGCTAAGCATGGTGCAACACACCTGTAACCCCAGCATTCAGGAGGTCGAGGAAGACCAGCCTCTGCTACATAGTAATTTTGAAGAATCATCGAGGATTTGGTGGTGCACACCTTTAATCTCAGCACTCAGGAGGCAGAGACAGGTGGATCTCTGTGAGTTCAAGGCCCATCCTGTCTACAGAGTGGGTTCCAGGACAGCCAAGGCCCATATTAGAGACATGATCTGAAAATAATTGGAGCTAGCTGTAGTTGTAAATTGGGAAGGCAAATTTTGGGTGGCAGACAGCTGTGCAGATTCCTGCAGTGGGCTTGGGTTTCAGCTTATCTTTGGGGCCTCCCCTAGTCCCAGTTTGCAATTTCTTACTTGATTGTGAAGGTTAAACCACTGATGGGACAGACCTAGGATCCTATGTGGTTGGAGCCCTACACGGGCTTCCTCTGGCCTGCACCTAGGAGTTGAGGCCTCCTCTGGGAGTCCGTCATCGCAGCAGCCTGAGTCTGATCCCCTCGGCCCCCAGGAGATAGACCCCAGCTTGGGCGTGGCAGAGCTCCCCGATGAGTTCTTCGAGGAGGACAACATGCTGAGCATGGGCAAGAAGATGATGCAGGAGGCCATGAGCGCCTTCCCAGGCATTGATGAGGCCATGAGCTATGCTGAGGTCATGAGGTCAGCCTGGGAGGGGTTGGGGGATTGCCTGCCTGCTCTGGGAGGGCTGCTGGTGTGAGCCTGACCCTCATCTCTCCTCAGGCTGGTGAAAGGCATGAATTTCTCAGTGGTAGTATTCGACACAGCACCCACCGGACACACACTCAGACTCCTGAACTTCCCCACCATCGTGGAGCGGGGCCTGGGCCGCCTCATGCAAATCAAGAACCAGATCAGCCCCTTCATCTCACAGGCAGGTGCCACACACTACTTCTGTGTCTTACTGAACCATGTTCCACATGGAAAAGCAAGAGGCATTGTCCCCTGTCTCCTCCCCTATGAAATGGACTGTGTCCTTCCACATCTCACCTGCTATGTGACCTCAAGTAAATCTTTTCTCCTCTTTGAGTCTTCCTTTCCTTCTCTGTCAACTATAATGCTCACTTCAACAGCATAGACACTTTAAAAAACAAAAATGGAGGGTCCAAGAATGGTTCTGTGGGTTGTCGATACTGTGACACTTGTCCCCACTCCCATGTCTACCTCCAGTCTCAGAGAGTAATGTCTGCTGGGTATCTACTTAGTGGCTAGCACCAATCTGTAATAAAACACATGACAGCTCACATAGCACAACAGCTCTTGGAAGTAAGGTGTGGAGATAGGAAAACTGAGAATTCAGGAGGTCAGATATCTTGGCCATGTTTGCCCACAAAGTGGAAGAACTAAAATTACACAAATTTACCCCATGAGTTAGCCCCAGGACCCATACCTTTAAAGGAGATGCTGCAGTATTCAGCAAGCCTCTGATGGGCCAGGAAGGTGAAAAACCTGTCCTCCCATTCCCCACAGATGTGCAACATGCTGGGTCTGGGGGACATGAATGCTGACCAGCTGGCCTCCAAGCTAGAAGAGACATTGCCTGTCATCCGATCGGTTAGCGAACAGTTCAAGGACCCTGTGAGTTGTGACCCAGCAGGTAGTGAGGGGCTTTTGAGGATGGGGATGGGGATAGCCAGATCCCTTCCCTTGCTCTTGTGTTGTACCCCACAGGAACAGACGACCTTCATCTGTGTGTGCATCGCTGAATTCTTGTCCTTGTATGAGACGGAACGGCTGATCCAGGAGCTGGCTAAGTGCAAGATCGACACCCACAACATCATCGTCAACCAGCTCGTCTTCCCTGACCCTGAAAAACCCTGCAAGATGTGTGAGGCTCGCCACAAGATCCAGGCCAAATACCTGGACCAGGTGTGCCGACCTGCCCAACCCAGCCAAAAGTCCTGTGTCTTTTACCCCTTTTTAAGTCCTTGAGGGCTGGGGCTGCAGCTCAGTGGAGAGAGAGAGAGAGAGTGAGAGAGAGAGAGAGTTGGTCTTACTGAGGATACTGCTTGAGGCTTTTTACATGCAATTTACATTCAATTCTCTTCTGCAGAGCCATGCCCCCAGTCCTGTCTGACCTCTGTGCTCCCCTGATGACCTACCCTCTTCCCACTCCTGAGCTTTCTGTATCTCAACTGAGGCTGAACTGGGAAGCATGACACCTAGTCCAATCCTGGACTTGCTGCCCCCACTCCCACTTAACATAGCAAGAGGCTTCTGCCCTGACCTGCCATCCCCCACCTTGTAAACCTCTTCTGCCCTTAATCTCTGCTTTCTGCTCTCTAACCTGTAACAGATGGAAGACCTTTATGAAGACTTTCACATTGTGAAGCTGCCACTGTTACCCCATGAGGTTCGGGGAGCCGACAAAGTCAACACTTTCTCTGCCCTGCTCCTGGAGCCCTACAAGCCCCCCAGTACCCAATAGCACACCACTCATCCCAGCTGCTGCCACTTCACACCCTCCTCTTTCCCTATGGGGCAGAGTTTGCACAAAGTCCCCCATAGTACGGGGGAGCCGTTTAGGAGGTGGGAAGTTGGGAGGGGATCTGTTCCCCCTGGTGGGGCCTGGGGAGGCTGCAATGCCCCCCACCTCTCCCTGCCTCACACTCCTCAATAAAATAATCTTAAACAGCTGTTTGTTAATGGAGGCATGGGAAGGTAAGCACCTGTGTACAGCCACATAGATTGTACACTGCACCAAAGTCATCTCTCTCACTCACACACATAGGGATCCATCCATAGCAAACCTAGGGTGATAATTTGTTTGTGGTAACAGCTGTGGAAAGAGACTGTCTTAAAGATATCCTGGCTAGGGCTGCAAAGCTCCCTTCCTTAAAAACTCAAACCAGGTGTGTTGTCACAGGACTTTAATCCCAAGAGGAAGAGGCTGGTGGGATCTCTGTGAATTCGAGGCCAGCCTGGTTGGTCTACAAAGTGAGTTCTAGGATAGCCAGGGCTGTTAAACAGGTGAAAAACCCTGTGTCGAAAAAGAAAAAAAACAAGAGTGTGGGAATCTTTGGGCCCTGTGGCCAGCCCCAGGCTAGTAGGGAACGGATTAAGCAGGCAATGAGCCCAATACCACCTGCTGTTTAGTTTGGGAATTAGTGGGCGCCCTGGGCAGAGACTTGGCCTGCCAGACTGGGGATTAAGGATCTGTATACACACCCCTAGTTCCTGCCTTCCTGACATGCTTTCAGCCTCTCCTGGGGTGGGACTGATGAGGATTAGCAGGAGGCAGACGATGCTGGAGGTTCCCTTGAGGTTGGACCTGCTTTCAGAGAAGGTTTCCCGAGGCTCCCCAGCACGGGCCCCACCTGTCCAAGCTGTACTCCCATAGCCCTTCAACTGGGGACCTGAACTGTGGCGTGAATTCTTAGTACACCTTTGGGACCCCTGTTCCCTGCCCTCTCTCTACACCCACTGAGCAACCCTGTAATGGACACCTGAGAGACTGGGAATAAAACATGACCTTTGAGTGTTTTCAAGTTCCAAGCCACAGTTGCTTGGTGTGAGGGGACAAGAAGGGGTGTTGGGAGACATACATGACTCAGGAGTGTTCCTGGTACACCCAGGGTCTAGGCGTGCCGAGGAATGCATGCAAAGGAAACCCAATCACCCGCCTAGACTTGTCCTGCTGCTGGACTCCTGTGTGTGCAAGCTGGTGTGGGCACGCTGGAGTGACAAAAGTAAGCCAATGGAAGTGGCCGCAGGAAGAAGGACCACAGACTCCAAGGCCATACTGCCCGGGTTCAGATCCTAGCTGTATCATCAGAGATAAGGTTTGCCCATGAGGCTGGTGGAAATAACAGGTTTTCCTCCAGCACCCGACTCAGACCTCACTAAGAATGGTGCCATTGCCGTGAGAGGGCATGTGAACTAGGCAACCTGCCCTCCAGACCAGCTGGGGATCGGGAACTGTGTGGGAATGTGTGTGCTGGTGGAGAAGGGATAAGCTGCGGGGAGTCAGGGCAGTCTCAAAGAACAGCCTGTCCAGTTCCCAGGTCCTACAGTGTCACCCCAGTCAGCTATCGTTGCTGGAGTTTATAGGCTGCTGGGCAGCTGGACAGCGGAGATATGGGTCCAAGGGTGGCCAGCCCAGGCTGGTTCCTAATTTACCCAGGTGGGGCAGACATCTGCCAGCCTGGGAACACTGTGTCCTGGCCAGATGGGCCTCCCAGTGGGCTGCACTGGGCCGTTCCCACTTCTGCAGCTAAACAGGTAGATACCAAGGAACTCATGAGGACCTCAAGAGTGCCCTTCCCAGGCTGGACCCCTGAGCCTCTGCCCCTCTCATACCCATGTGTCTGTGGACATGCTTGAAGTTGGGGGTGGCAGCAGGAGTGCTCTCTGTGCCAGACTGGGAGTGGCCCTCCTGTTGGTGTCTCTGAAGAGACAACATCTGTCTCTCGAATCAGTGCCAAAAGTAGGGACAAGGATTTATGTGCCTGGTTATGTATTCAGGACATTGTTGAGTATGAGATCTGAGTATATGTCTGGGTGTTTCTGTACACAGCACATAAAGGAAGCATTGAAATGAGGCATTTTTTTTTTTAATTTTAGACAGGGCCTGACTATATAACTTAGATTGTCCTTGAATGTGTGGCCTCTAAAATGCTGGGATTACGGGTTTATGCCTCTATGCCTGACTAAATATATTAATATACAAATGCATTAATGTCACTGGGGTTTGAGTTGGTGAGAATGTTAAGAAAAGTTCCCTGTTGTCATCCCCCTGCCAAGCTAGGGATGGAACCTAGGGCTTCACAAATGCTTGGCAAGTCTTCTACCATTAAGCTACCCACAGCCTTTGCAAATTGGTAAATGTCAGGGACCACCAAGGGCTTGCTCTGACCCTAGGATTGTATTCTACTGTGTTGAGGGAGGTCACCCCACACTTCTCATGTGACTTTGGATGTGTCTTTGTACAGAGGGGGAGACTTCAAACTGAATGTCTGTGGCTATGGATGGGAAGGCCTTGGTGGCTGTGTGCTCTCCTGAGTCCTTGTCATATGACAAGAGCTTACAGGAAGGCAGGCCCCTGGCCTGCTTCTTCTGCCTTCCTATAAGGCTGTTCGGAGCAGCGAGTGTAGGTCCATGAGCTGAGAACTGGCTGCTTCCAGGTTTCACTTGCCTTACAACCTCTTGCTCTAGTGGAGGGAAGAGAGTGAGGCTACATGTACCTTGGGTGACTTCAAACATGAAACGTTGGTGGGGGGGTGGGGGGGGTGTGTAGATCAGAGGACAGCTTTGTGGAGTTGCTTTATACAGACTTCAAGGATTAAGCTTATACATGAGCTTATGTATGACATTTTTGTTTGTTTGTTTTCAGTTTTGTTTTTTGGAGGCAGAATTTTATTGTATCCCCTGGCTGTCCTGTAACTAACTCTGGAGACCAGGCTGGCCTTGAACTCACAGAGATCAACCTGCCTCTGCCTCTGGAGTGCTGGGACTAACGGTGTGCACCACCACTGCCCAGCATTATTTTTTTTATTAATTTATCTTTTACATTCCAATCCCAGTTCCCCCCTCCTAACCTCCCAACTCCCTCCACTCTCGCCTCCTCCCAACCAAGCATTATTTTTTATACAGAATCCTACTATGTAGCAAACTGAGGCTTGCCCCAAATTCACTATGAAGCCCAGGTTGGTGTCTTTATCTCCTCTTGGTGATCCTCCTGCCTCTACCTCCCAAAGAATGCTAGCATCATAGATATGCACCTTTATAGACTTTTTGGTGGGGAGAGGGTCTGGAAGTCTCTATGTAGATCTGTAGAACAGGCTGTTCTCAAACTCACATATCCTGCCTGCCTCTGCCTCTCTAATGCTAGAATTAAAGAAGTGGCTTCCTTTTTTTTTTTTTTTTTTTTTTTTGAGAAAGGGTTTTTTTTTTTTGTCCGTCCTGACTGCCCTGTCCTGGAACTCACTATGTGACCAGATTCTAGACTAGGCTGGCCTTTAACTCAGAGATCCACCTTCCTCTGCCTCCCAAATGCTGGGACTAAAGGCATGCACCAACACCGCTGGGCTGTTTATATTGGATGTTTCACCTACATGTGCAAACATACACTCCATAAGTACTTAGTGCCTAAGGAGGCAAAATGAGAGCATCAGAACTCCATGGAACTGGGGTTACAGACAGGTGTAAGCAACAATGTGGGGGCTAGGTACCGAATTGTGCGAGAGCAGTGTGAGCTCTTAACCCCTGAGCCATATCTCCAGTCCTGCTTTTTCAATTATGTGTACATGTGTCTATGCCTGTGTGGGGATAGGTGTTGTAATTTAAAAAGCAATGTGAGAGAGAAAGACACCATGTGACAGAGCTCATGTGGAGGGCTTTTTTTTTTTAAGAGAATGGGGAAAGGGGGAGGGGAGAGGCGAAACTGGCCTCTGGAGACAGGAGCAGCAGAGAAGAAAGGCAGAGAGAGGGTGGGGGAGAGAAAGTGAGACAGGCAGAGAGGCAGAGAAAGAGAGAGAAAGAGATGAGAGGTGGGCAAGACCCACCTTTTAAAAGGGAATGTAGTGAATGCACAGGTGGTGCTCTTAGTGGCTGCAGCTGAGGGCGTATCCTGTCAGGACCCCAAGGACAGCACAGTACAGATGCCCAAATACTAAAAATATATGCACCTCAGTTCAGGTGTCCTTGGATCCCCTGGGGCTGGAGTTACAGGTAGTTGTCAGATACCAGAGTGGGTGCTGGCGACAAACTCAACAAGAGCAGTATAAACTCTTAAGCACTGAGCCATCTATCTCTTCAGCCCCTCTACTGACTTTTTGAGACGCAGTCTCACCCTATATCCCAGACTGGAACTCATGACAGTCCTCCTGTCTTAGGTGCCAGCATACCTGGCTGACCTTGAAAGTCTCTGTGTGACAGTGTGAATTGCCACGGTGGTTAAGTAAAGCTGTGTTAGGGGAAGCTAAATGTGTGCCAGGGTCTACCTACACTGTGGTGTGCATCTTTGAGACAGTTGGTGATCACAGGTAACCGAAAGGTAACGTGTGTGTGTGTGTGTGTGTGTGTGTGTGTGTGTGTGTGTGTGTGTGTAGGAGGGAGCCTCTCCCCTCTCTTCCAGCTGTAGATTCCTTCTGCCTACTAGGGAGGGAGACAAAGAGGAGCAAGAAAGTACAGGGCAGACCTACCACACACAGCACCACCCCACCCAACCCCACCCCCCTGCCCAGGAGACAAACTGGCATACCTTCTCCAAACAAAGTTCTGAGGCTGTAGCTCAGCTAGAGAGAATGGACCTGGGGAGTGGGCGTGGGCAGCCTCTCCCAGGTCCCGTCCTGCACAGAGTCTGGCTTCGGCCCCACCCAACACTGAAGCCACCCTTCCATTCAGTCTCTGTCCCTGTCTGTCCCTGTACTGCCACCTTCAACACAGGTGAGAATGACCAGACCTGGGAGAATTAAGGGCCCTACCCTGGTAGGCTTTGGGCAGGACTCCTGGGGGACTCGTGGGGGGATGAGGGGGGCGAGCTAGGAGGGGCAACAAGAAAGGGAAGCAAAGGAGGGCCTGGAGTAGAAGGAGGGGTCAGAGACGGAGGATTAAGTATGGGGGTTCGGCGTGGGCTGGAATCTATCGGAGATAGAAAGGATATGGGACAGATGAGGACCTAGAGCCTTAAAGACTCCATTCAGAGCAGTTGTGAATATGAGGGGGACAGTAGCCCCAGACTCTGAGTCTGCTAGGGCAGACTGTAGGATCAAGGGAGTGGAGCAAGGGAACCAAGGTTGGGAGAATGGGCAGTAAGTTGGGGAGGGGGGGGGTTGAAGTTCTGAGAATTTAGAAACTGAGGACTCAGGAAGTCCAGGAGGTTGAGCGTTGTACAGGTGAAAGGAATGGGGGTGAGGGGACGTGGCGGGCAATTCAAAAATTGACTAGATTAATCCAAAGGTTTGGAGGTGGGAGACCTAACTAAAAACCCAAGAGGCTTGGACCAGTAGTCTAGGGGAGGAGTGAGCAAGATGAGGAGAAGGGAACTGGGGAGAGAGCCAGGACCTGGGGCTGGGGGATGGAATAACAGGACGCGGGTGGGGACCACCCTAGTGCTGTGAGGACAGTGCACTATGTCTGCTGGCTGGCACCTGCAACTGAAATTCCCAGGTCGTCTCCTCACAGCCTTTTCCCTTTGGCTCACAACCGGCGCCCAGGCTAACCCCTTCTCCATTAGCCACACTGGCCCGGCACAGCGATGACTGTCACCTACACAGCCCGAGTGGCGAATGCCCGCTTCGGTGGTTTCTCGCAGCTGCTGCTGCTGTGGCGCGGAAGCATCTACAAGCTCCTGTGGCGAGAACTGTTGTGTTTCCTGGGGCTCTACATGGCGCTGAGCGCCGCCTACCGGTGAGACCTGGAGTGGGGTCTGGGAACCTGCTCCAGATGGAAGGGATGGGGAGTGGAGGAGAGACCTGTAGCCACTGCATTCCCTACCCCGCAGCTTCTTACTGGCAGAGGAGCAGAAGCGCTACTTCGAGAAGCTTGTCATGTACTGCGACCAGTACGCCAGCCTCATCCCTGTCTCTTTCGTGCTTGGTGAGGTTGTGCCCCCTGAGTGTCCTATTCCTACACAAGGGAGAAATCTGTTTTACATACATACTACGTGGTGACTGCCATTTCTACCCTTCTAAGGCGCCTCACTCAAATCTGACCTCCAGGGCTTCCCACTTCTGAATCCACACCTCGAGGGTGCCCATATGACCCTATGTCCCGAGACTCTGGGTATCATCTGGTTACAGTACACTCTGATCACTATCCTCCCATACATTCTGAGACCCTTCCCTCCAGGGACGAAATAGGACTCCATTCAAATCCAGCCTGGCCCCTAGCCCCACAGAAACCTCATGTGACCCTCCCACCACATGGATGGGATGGCCAGCCTGCCCAGGTCTCCCTGTCGCATAGGGTCAAACTCTTTCTATGTGTGTGTGTTGTTTATTTATTTGAGACGGGGTCTCTCCTTATGTAGCCTTGGCTGGCCTGAAACTCCCCGAGCAACTCAGGCTGAGGGCTAAACTTTCATAACCAGGGTTCAGGGACTACAAGTGGCTGTGGTGGTAAATCTATCTAGATGTCCCTGATGTGCATCCCACCTCCACACACTAGTGTCCTCACCTTGTTTCCAACCCAGATACCCCAAGCCTAGTTCCATGGGGTTAGAAGAGCATGCCCCTAGCTAACACAGGCCCTGGGTTTCCGCGTCCATATCGGGATACAACCCCCCTTCCCAGGGTAACCCAGCCTGCTCCAACCTCTTTAACTTCAGGGTGGCCGAATACCCAAGTCCTTTTCCAGGTGTCTCTGATGCAAGCCCTATGTCATCCCAATCCCACGACTTGGGCTCCCAAACTCTTGGCCCCTGAATCCCTGCTGAGCTTCCATCTCCGGCTTACCCTCAGGCTTCTACGTGACTCTGGTGGTGCATCGCTGGTGGAACCAGTACCTATGCATGCCTCTGCCCGACGCCCTCATGTGCGCGGTGGTCGGCACCGTGCATGGGCGCGACGATCGAGGCCGCCTCTACCGGCGCACGCTCATGCGCTACGCAGGGCTCTCAGCGGTGCTGATCCTTCGTTCGGTCAGCACAGCAGTCTTCAAGCGCTTCCCCACCATAGACCATGTGGTCGAGGCTGGTGAGTCTTTGGCCAGAGGATGGCAGGGCCAGACAGGAGAGCGGTCCAAGTAACCTCGGATCACCCCCCCCCCTCCAGGATTTATGACCCGCGAGGAGCGCAAGAAGTTCGAGAACTTGAACTCATCTTACAACAAGTACTGGGTGCCCTGCGTGTGGTTCTCTAGCCTGGCGGCGCAGGCGCGGCGGGAGGGGCGCATCCGCGACAACAGTGCCCTTAAGCTGCTGCTGGAGGTGGGCCTGAGGGGAAGGTATACCTGTAGAATAGAGAGCATTGTGGCTCTCTATTTTGGAGTGGGTCGAGGGCGGCTGGCCTCGCACCTCCCGATAGTCCGTAGTCCCAGCACCCTTACCAATGCACTTATTTCCATGGGGGCAGCCCTGTAGTGCATGGTACCCCCAACCAGTTGTACATCACAACCAAATACCCTGTCGCTCCTGGAGACAACGGCCTAATTCCTGACTTGTGACCTCTCTCCATCTGGGTACTCACACTTAATCTCCACATGAACTCGTTGTTCAGCCCATTCGTGACTCACATCTGCCCGTAGGAGCTGAATGCGTTTCGGAGCAAATGTGGGATGCTGTTTCACTACGACTGGATTAGCATACCCCTCGTCTACACCCAGGTAACTTTTCCGTGCCTCCATTTACACTCAGCTTAGGAAACCCCATTCCTCTTAAGGGAAAACGGAGGTCAGTCATGATGATACGCATCTGTACTTACCCCCAGCATTCAGGAAGCTGAGCAGGAGGACCCCAAGTTTGAAACCAGGCTAGATTACATAGCGAGATCACTTCTCAGTTACAGAGTGTAGGGAATGAAAGCCAGCTTAAACTCAGTCACCCTGATGATGCTCATTGCTGGCCCTGATCTTTCCATCACTCCCTGAGGCACGGGGGGTGGGGGGAGGGCAGAAGTGATCTCGTTTCCATTTGCCTGGCCCCCAGGTAGTGACGATCGCCGTGTACAGCTACTTCCTGGCTTGCCTCATCGGCCGTCAGTTCCTCGACCCTGCACAGGGCTACAAAGACCACACCTTGGACCTGTGCGTTCCCATCTTCACCTTACTGCAGTTCTTCTTCTATGCCGGCTGGCTGAAGGTGGGTGGGGCGGCGTGGGGGCGGGGGAGGCGGAACGGAAGAGTGGGGCGTGAAAGACTGTCCTAGCTCCACCTGACTCTCTTCTCTGTTCTCAGGTAGCAGAGCAACTCATCAACCCTTTCGGAGAGGACGACGACGACTTTGAGACCAAGCAACTCATCAACCCTTTCGGAGAGGACGACGACGACTTTGAGACCAACTTTCTTATTGACCGCAACTTTCAGGTCAGAGTCTCCCCCTGGTGGTCACAGGAGTTTCCTAAGTGGTCCCAGACTCGCCCTTCTTCTTTGGTCACACACCATGAGGGCTCCACCCACCCCACCCTGCGTGTCCACATCCTCAGGTGTCGATGCTAGCCGTGGACGAGATGTATGACGACTTGGCTATGCTGGAGAAAGATCTATACTGGGACGCGGCAGAGGCTCGCGCGCCCTACACCGCGGCCACGGCTTTCCTGCTGCAGCAGCCCTCGTTCCAGGGCTCCACCTTTGACATAGCGTGAGCTAGCCCGGGGGGCGTGGCTTAGGACTCTGCTGGCCCAGATGGATCACGGGTCCGTGGCATTAATGGGGGGGGGGGGGGAAAGGGGGGCCTCCAGTTTCCAAACTAGGCAATTTGGCGCACAAAGGTGGCGTAATCCAGGAACCCTAGCACTTGGGAGGTGGAGCCAAGGGGATCAGGAGTTCCTTATGTAGAGAGATCAAGTTTGGGGCTTTGACCGGGATGGGAACTGGTCATTAGTTGGAGACTGGGAGCAGATCTAAAGTCTTTTAGAGACGATGGGACCACGTTTGAGATTGTAGTGCCAGAAGATATGGCTAAATCTCTCAGAGTGACACAAGGTGTGGGTGGAGCTAGGTAAAAATCTCATGTGCCTCGGATCCACTTTCTGGATCCTGAAGAAAAAAGACAGGGATGAAGGTAGGGTCTAGTGTATCATGCAAGAGGTCCTAACTTCCACCTCAAACACTGCTAAACAGACAGAGATAGATAGATAGAGAGCCCTGGATTTGGTGGCACACATCTGTAGCCAGTCCCAGGACAGCGGAGACAGAGAGGTTCCTTCACCAAGTTTGAGGCCAGTCTGGATTGTACAGTGAATTTCAGGTCTGTTTACAGTTACATAGTGAGACTTTGTCAAAACAAACAACAAACACACACACACAGAGAGAGAGAGAGAGAGAGAGAGAGAGAGAGGAACCTCCCCTGGGAATTTATCTCTTGTCCCTAATCTTTCCCTCTACTAAAAAAATAAAACAACAACCAAACTAATACCAGATAATCAGACCGTGGTGGCGCACACCTTTAATCCCAGAGCTCGGGAGATAGAGACAGGCGGATCTATGTGAGTTCGAGGCCAGCCTGGTTTACAGAGTTAGTACTAGGACAGCTACATAAACAAACCCTGTCTCAGAAAAACAAAAACAAACAAACAAAAAAAAAACAGAAAACTAGAATCAACGCAAAGGAGCGAGGCCTCGGTGCTGACCCCTGTCCTTCCTCCAGGCTGGCTAAAGAGGACATGCAGTTCCAGCGGCTGGACGGCGTGGACGGCCCACTGGGAGAGGCTCATGGGGACTTTCTGCAGCGCCTCCTGCCGGCGGGTGCCGGCACTGTGGGTCCGCTGGGGCGGCGCCTGTCGCTGTTAAGGCGTAAGAACAGCTGCGTGTCCGAGGCGTCCACCGCGGCCAGCTGTGGGTGTGCAGGCACGGCGGACAGCGGAGGCGTTGAGTGCAGTTGTGGAGAGCCATTGCTCGACCCCAGCCTGAGGGAGCCGGAGCTCGAGCCCCCAACGTGTCCTGAGCCGCCTGCCCCCATCCTGGGGCCGACTGCTGAACCTTTCACCACCGTGCCCATTCCAGGGCCCCGAGCTCCGGCGCCGCCTTGGCTGCCCAGCCCTATTGGAGAGGAGGAAGAGAGTCCAGCCTGAGACCCTGGGACCAGTACCCCTACGGACACCCAATCCTGTACAGGGCATGCTGGTGACCACAAAGGTCTGCACCAGCTAGCCATGCCTGCACAAAGTCGTCCTGCCCATTTTGATCAGCTATGTCTCCCACTGGGGCTGCTGGTGGTTAGGGGTCCATATTCTCCTAGCTGCTGTTGCTTTTTTTCCCCCCCCCCTACTCTCAGCTTCTTTAAGTGGCTTTGCTTTCCTCACACCACCACCTGACCTGGGTTGTTCCCTTGCAGTGGAATTGTGAGTGCCTACCTCATGAACTTGTGAGGATTAAAACAAAAATAAATGAAATGGTTTATAACAGGTGTTCAATAAAATGGTTTATAATAGGTTCAATAGGTTTTCAATAAAATGGTTTATAATAGGTGTTCAATAAAAACATCTCTAGCCAGATCATTTACAAGATTTGTAAGTTCTCTGGGCTTTTGTTGTTGTTGGATACAGGGTATTATTGTGCAGCTGGCCTGTACCTCCTGATACAGACGAGGCTCTCCTGGAGCTCACATTCATCTCTCTTACCTACCTAGTGCTGGGCTTAAAGGCAGGTGACATCACACCTGGCCTTCCAGACATTCTTGATGTTCTCCACCCCCAAATTTTGATGGAATACCTTTGGTTTTATTCACTGGTGGGAGAGAAATGGTGATCAGAGCCCTTAGCATGAAAGACAAGCAGTGGAAACACTGAGCTATATCCCCAGGCCCACTCACATCAGTAAGTTAGCCACTGTCTCAAAGCAACAGTTTTCCCCTTGCTCCAAGCACCTGAAACCTCAAATACAAATTCTCTCAGCACTCCAGGTCCTGTGTATATGGTGTTGGGGGATGCAACCCAGGCCCTCTTGTATACTAGCTAAGCCAGGCAACTACTACAATCCCAGCCCAGACATGCCAAGTTTGCTTGCTTTACTGTTTTCTTGGTTTGGCAATTATTATTTTATGTGTACAAGCATTTGCCTACATGTAAGTCTATGTATTACTTGCTTGCCTGGTTCCTCTGCATCCAGAAGAGGATGTTAGATATTCTAGAACTGGGGATACAAACAGTGTGAGCTGTCATGTGGGTGCTGGAAAACAAACTCGAGTTCTTTGGAAAAGCAGACAGTGCCCTTAACTGCTGAGCCATCTCTTTGGCCCTATTTTATTTTTGTTTCTTCAAGATGGTTCCCACTATGTAGCTCTGGCTGTCCTGGAACTTACTATGTAGACCAGGCTGGCCTCAAACTCAAGAGATCCACCTGCTTTTTGCCTCCCCAGTGCTAGGATTAAAGGCATGCACCACTATACCCAGCTTCCCTATTTTTTTTTTTTTTTTCAGACAGGGTTTCTCTGTGGCTTTGGAGTCTGTCCTGGAACTTGATCTTGTAGACCAGGCTGGCCTTGAATTCACAGAGATGCGCCTGCCTCTGCCTCCCGAGCGCTGGGATTAAAGGTGTGTGCCACCAACGCCTGGCGTTCTCTCTCTCTCTCTCTCTCTCTCTCTCTCTCTCTCTCTCTCTCTCTCTAAGATTTATATTTATTTATTTAGAAATAGGGTCCATTATGTAGCTCTGGCTGTCCTGGAACTCACAGATCCACCTGCCTCTGCCTTCAAGTGCTGAGATTAAAGGCATGTGCCACTATGTCTAGCTAGAAACTCACTGTTTTTGACTAGGCTGACTGGCCAGAGAGCTCTCTAGCTTGACCTGTCCCTCAACTCCTCAGAGTGGGGATACAGGAACATGCAGCAACTGTCAGGTTTTTGTGGTTGGTGGAGATCAAACTCAGTTCATGAACAATTGGACAGAGCAGTCTCCCTGGCTCCTTTTCCTTCTTTCTTTTTGTTTGTTTGTTTGTTTTTGAGACAGGGTTTCTTGTAGCTTTAGGAGCCTGTCCTGGAACTCACTCTGTAGACCAGGGTTGGTCTCAAAGTGGCAGAGATATACCTTTCAAGTGCTTGGATTAAAGGCATTCACCACCACACCTGGCTTTCTCCCCAGCTTTTTAAAACAAATAATAACAACAAAAACTCCACAATTTTCTCATCTGTCATTGTGTTACTGGTCACTCACACTTTAATAAGAATGAAAAGCTGGAGCCAGGCAGTGGTAGCACACACATTTAGTCCTCACTCTCTAGGAGTCAGAATCAGGCAGATCTGTGAATTTAAGGCCAGCCTGGTCTACAGAGCAAGTTCCAGGACAGTCAGGGCTACAAAGAGAAACCCTGTCTCAAAACAAAACAAACAAAAACCCCACAAGAATGCAAGACAAGGACTGGGAGAGATTGCTCAGTGGTTAAGAGCACTGTGGCTCCTTTTCCAGGAGACCAGGGTTCAATTCCCAGCATCCACATGGTGTCTCACCCCATTTGTAACTCTAGTTCCAGGGGTTCTGAAGCCCTCTTTTGGCCTCTGTGGGTACCAAGCACATACATAGCACACAAACATACACAAGGGCAAAATACTTATACATGTGAAAAAAAAAAAAATGTGGAGAAGGAAAGAAGGGAGGGAAGGAGGGAGGGAGGGGACAAGAGGATGCAAGACAAGTGGTTCTTAAAAGCAATGGTCTGGCCAGGCGTTGGTGGCACACGCCTTTAATCCCAGCACTCGGGAGGCAGAGGCAGGCAGATCTCTGTGAGTTCGAGACCAGCCTGGTCTACAAGAGCTAGTTCCAGGACAGCCTCCAAAGCCACAGAGAAACCCTGTCTCGAAAAACCAATAAATAAATAAATAAATAAATATTGCGCACTACCACTGGCCAGTCTAGCCCACTTTTTAGTCCTCACCATGGTGTCCAGAGTCCATTCATGACAGATTTAAAGTCTTTATTCTTTTCAAATATAAAAATCAGGCTCTTCCCAAGGAGTTCATGAGGCCCAGGAGAAGAATCAAGGATAAGAATCACATTGCTAAAAAGAATAGGCCTACACCTGATACCAGCCTCTCCCCTTCTCTCCCATCTAAGGAAGCAAAGGGCAGAAGTCATAGCCTCAATCAAGGTCAACGCCCCAAGCCGGGTACCATGTGAGCTGGAGGACTCTAGCAGGCAGCAGGAAGTTGAGGTCTGTCAGTGCTTATCAGTGGGGCGAAGGCTCAGAGAAGCCAGGCGTCCCAGGGGTCCTCGGCGTGCATTGGTCGCCAGTCTTTGCTGTGCCAGGAATGACTGGGCATGGGCAGGAGACTGCTCTTCCCCAGCCCGTTGCTCCAAGGCCATGCCCTGTGGAGATGGTATGATTGACAGGGAGTAAGTGAGCCTACCTATGCCATGTGAGCCTGATGAACCAGCCATGGAGGCAGCCTGCTTACCATGCTGTGCCAGGCACTGATGAGCAGCTTTTCCTCTTGTTCCCGCTGACTCCGACTCTTCTCATAGTCCATCTGCCAGGGAAGCAAGAGTCAGGGGCCTGGGTGTGCTGAGGGCTGCACAGAGGGGAGGGATGGGGTACCCACCTCCAGGTGCCGTATTCTCATGTTCCGCTCCCAGAGCTGTGTCCTCAGGGTATGGAGTTCTGGGGACACCCCAGTGGGCGGCCTCTGCTTGGGTTCCAGGTTCTGAATGACCTAGGGATTAGAAAAAAAAAAAAAAATCACAGGAGAGTGACCTTGATTATAATGATAGTGACATTTTTGCAGTCCAAGGGACTGATTGAATTTGATGTTGAGCTATGCTAGGCAACATAGCTCTATCACTATTTTGTTTTGTCATTTGAGATAGGTTCTCATTCAGATCAGGTCTCAAACTTATGACCCTCTTGCCTGAGTCACAAGGTGCCACCACACCTGGACCTGTTTCCTTCTATCTGTCTGTCTGTCTAAAACAGGGTCTCTCTCTATGCAGTCTGGTTGACCTCAAACTCATGGAAATCTACCCACCCGCCTCTGCTTCCCTAGTGTGGAATTAAAGGAGTATATCACCATGCCTGGCTCTTTATTTTCCATTTTGGCTAAGTCTGCAGAATAGTTGGGAATACAGACTTGAACCACCCAGATGCCTTACTTTGGCTTTATGTTATATATCTGCTTATTTTTTGGAAATCTAGGGACTGACCTCAGAGTCTCCTGCCTGCTAAGCAAGTATAACTTACTGAGCCACATACCCCACCCCCAGCTGGTAGATTATAGACAAGCATTCTATCACTTAGCCATATCTAAGACAGAAGTTCTATCACTGAGCCATGCCCTGAAGCTTCTTTGCAGACCCCCTTGACACACTGGAGTGCAAAGGATGACAGCCCTTGGTGGCAGGACCATGCAAAAGCCTATATGACATGATGTGGTATGGAGGGTGTGAATGCAGAGGGCAGAGATACACAAACTGGCAGATATGAACTGATGGGCAGCCCAAGGCATAGGACCTGAAGCAGGAGGATAGTGGGACACCTAGCATCTTTACCATGCGTGCCTTGTCCACATAGCGGCGGTAGCGTTCTTCCATGGCCTGCAAGTCTGCATCCTTCTTCTGAAGGCTGTCCTGTAGCTCCTCAATCCGACGAGCTGCTGAAGAACAAAGTCTCTAAGTTCTACGCTGCACTGTGGGATCTCTCTAGTTCTGGCCACTGCTGAGCCCCACTTACTACTGCTGTCAGTGGGAGGCTCCAACTCCTCAATGTACTCTCGTTTCCTCTGCAGCTCCAGATCAGCCTCATGCAGCTTCTGCCTGTGGGCATGGAAAGAGTGGATGATCTTGGGCTGGCATCTCTGTCTGCCCATCTATCCATCCATCCATCCATCCATCCATCCATCCATTCATCCACCCATGGTGTTGGGGACATAACCCTGGGCCTTGACCATGCTAGACAAGTACTCTGCCATTGGGCCACACCCCAGCATCTCACTGAACTCTGGGGGTAATGCTCTATAGCAGAGACACACTCCTGGCCCACTGGCTTCTCTTTCGTCCTAGTGGTACTCCAGCAAGTCAGAAGCTTCATTATAGCCACTAAGACCTTCTTGCTCTATCTAACTATCTCCCCATCCCATAGTTCCCAAGCTGGTCTGGTCCTCCTCATCCCTTCATCCCTGGCCATCCTCTCCCACTTTAACACCTCAGCTTCATTTTCTGTCCAGCAGTCAGGCTGTTTTTTTTTTTTTTTTTGGGGGGGGGGTTCTTATTGTTTGTTATATGTGGTTCTGAGTGTATACCACATGTATCTGTGTGCCTGGGGAGGGTGAGAGGGTATTGGACTCCCTGGAGCTGGAGTTACTGAATTACAGGTGATTATGAGCCACCTGACATGGGGAACTGAGATTCACACTTCCTCTGGAAGACTAGCAAGTGACCTTAATTGCTGAGCCATCTCTCAAGCCCCAGGCCTATCTCTGTTTTTTACTTTATGTGGTACTAAGGGTGGAACCCAAAAGCCTTGTGCATCCAGTCCAGTGCTCTACCACTAAGTCAGAGATGTGGTCACTTGGCTGGGGGTTTGCTCACAGAGCCCCATATGTCAAGGTGGTTAGCCCCCATTTGTGCCTTGACCATTTGCCCCTTTCTCTGCTTGAGATGGAGTCTCATGTATCCCCAGGATGGCCTTGGATTTCTGACCCTCCTCTGTCTCTCTCCTGAGTGCTGGAATCACAGGCCAGTACCACCATCCCCTGCTTTTTCTAAAGGAGATTCTGAGCCAAGCATAATGGTACATGCTATGACCACAACAGGAGGGAAGTTGAGGCAGGAGGATTACAGGGCCTCAACCAGTCTGGGCTACAGAGAGGACTTGTTTCAGCTGGGCAGTGGTGGCGCACGCCTTTAATCCCAGCACTTGGGAGGCAGAGGCAGGTGGATCTCTGTGAGTTAGAGACCAGCCTGGTCTACAAGAGCTAGTTCCAGGACAGCCTCCAAAGCCACAAAGAAACCCTGCCTTGGAAACCCCCCCAAAAAAATTTAGAGCGAACTTGTTTCATAATAAAACAAGAAGGGGGTTAAGATCACTTGCTGTTCTTGTAGAGGACCCAAGATGGTTCCCAGTACCCACATGGTAGCTGACAGCTATCCTGTAACTCAAGTCCTAGGGGCTGGGAGCCTTCAAAACACTCATACACATAAATAAAGCAAATAGGGTCGGGCATTGGTGGCGCATGCCTTTAATCCCAGCACTCAGGAGGCAGAGGCAGGTGGAGCTCTATGAGTTCGAAGCCAGCCTGGTCTACCTACCAAGTTCCAAACAATACAGGCTCCAAAACAAGACAGAGAAACCCTGTCTTGAAAAAAATAAATAAATAAACAAATAAAGCAAACAGAAGATCACACTTAAGAGCAAGACATGGTAGTTTACACCTGTAATCTCAGCACTTGGGAGGCAGAGAGGCTGGAGGGGCAGGAATTCAAGGCCAGCTTCAGTTACATGACATCCTGTCTCAAAATAAAGACTGTACTTGACCTGAGCTGACTGGATCTCCTCACCCACAATTTTCCACACCTTGGCCCCAAGGGTTCCTACCCCAGGAGTGACAGTTGTCTGCACTTACAGATGATCCTCCAGTTTCCTCTTCAGCAGGGTGGGCTGGGGGAGAGAAGCAACAGGAAGTGAGGGGATGGGAGACAAGGTATGAAAATCTGTGTGGGTAACGACAGGGTGCCTCCCTGGACTGTGGTACTCACAGTGGCCTTCATCGGGCACCGGGCAGCAGGGGGTTGGGGAGAAAAGAAGATTCTACCTGGGCCCTCAGCTCAGACAGCTGCTGCTGATCCAGCCTGGTGGGGAAGGGTGCTCAGTACTTGCATTTGGTCATGTCTAGATCTCCCTTCCAAACAAGCTGACTATGGCTCTTACCTGTGCTGAGTCTCCAGCCCATGGCGTGCACGGTTGGCCTCCTCCAAGTGGCGCTGCAGCTCTTCCTGTCGCTCGCGGTCTGAGGCCTCCTGCTGGCACAGTCGCTTGTTCTCCAGCTGAAGCCGCAGGAGCGTCTCTCTGAGGAACACGGAGGAGTAGAGCTGTGCTCCTAAACGGCCCATTAGGTGAAACTCTGGGCCGAATGCTCCCTTCGAAAGAGCCTAGCCTGCCTTGGGTTAGAGTACTGAGGACCTGGCTCCAGTTGCACAGGCTCTGGGGGCTGACCTGGGCACGGTGGATGGAGGACTTGACTAATGAGGGAAATCGAAGTGGACAGAGCTCCAAAGAGGTGTGCAGGTTGGGGGCGGGGAGGTTCAGAGCACTTGCATCCAGCTGTGGAAAGAGTAAGAGCTAGGTAGGAGTTACCAAAGCAGGGTAAAAGGAACTGGACCTAGTAGGGGCTCCAATGAAACGAGGGCAGGAACCTGGGTCTCAGATCAAAGTAAGCAGAGCTAAAATGTAGGAATTTTGCATCTGGAGTAGAGGCACATGGCTTGGATTGAATTTGTGCAATGAAAGTTTCTGAAGCCAGGGTGGTGGTGGTGCACATGCCTTTAATCCCAGCACTTTGGAGACAGAGACAGGTGGATCTCAGTGAGTTCAAGGCCAGTCTGGTATACAAAGTGAGCTCTAGGATAGCCAGGACTGTCACACAGAGAAACCCTTATCTCAAAAAAACAACAAAAGAAAAAAACCTCTGAAGAGCCTTTGGAACAGTAGCACCTGTAGCCAGAGCAGAGCAGAAGCAGGAACAAGGAACAGGGGAGCCTAAACCAGGCAACCAAAACAAATGGTAGGCTTTAGGCTTGCACTCTGAGAGTAGGGATGAGGAAAAGCCTAGTATGGATGGGTCCAGATCTTAAGAGGTCCCAATGTACCTGAGCTCTGCAGGCAGGATCTCTGCTGCTAAGTTTTCCAGGCCAGAAGGGGTAGGATCCAGAGAGAGGTCTGAAGAAAACAAGAAATCTTCAGGTTTCTGTGTACCCACAGTTTCTATCCCTGGGTCCTTTTGAAGGTCATCTTTGAGGGCTAAAGTACAGTCACAGACCATCTCCAACCCAGACCTGAAACTCACCAGCCTGAGCCAATCCCCTCGGCTGCAGCTGGGCACAGCGGAGCTCCTCGTTGGCCTCCCTCAGGGAGTCCCTCTCTGTCAACAGCCGCTACAGGGACAGGATGCAAGATGCCAGTTGGACCTCCTGGGAAATGGGCTATCCCAGGACACACAGGGCTCTGGCTGCAGGGCCTCACTCAGTCTTACCTCCTTCTCCTTTGTCACCAAGTCACACTTTTCCTCTAGGTTCTGGCATTCAAATAGCCACTTCTCAGCTTTCATGGCCTCTTCCTGCCACTGGCCTTGCAACTCCTGCACCTGCAGAAGAGGAGCTGGCTTGGGACTCGACAGATGGAAGGAAAGCACATGCCACCAAGCCTGACGGCCTGAGCTCAATCCCTGGAGCCCACAGAGCAGGAAGAGAGACCAGCTTCTGCAAGTTGTCTTCTGAACCCCACTCCCACACTCACACAAAATAAATAAAATGAAACTTAAGAAAAGAAGGGAAGTTGGGGGCTGGAGAGATGGCTCAACAGATAAGAGCACTGGCTCCTCTCTTCCAGAGGATAAGGGTTCCTAGCACCCACATGGCAGTTCACAACCGTATGTAATTTCTGGCCTCCATGAACACCAGGCAAACATATGGCACACAGACACACATGCAGAGGAAACGTCCATACATATATATTTAAAAAAAAAAAAAAAGAAGGTGGGTGGGGCGTTGGTGGTGCACTCCTTTAATCCCAGCACTCAGAAGGCAGAGGCAGGTGGATCTCTGAATTCGAGGTCATTCTGGTCCACAGAGCTAGTTGTGGGTAAGCCAGGGCTACACCAAGAAATCATGGGGAAAAGGAGAGGACAGCAGAGATAGGAGGGGCAGCATGGAGCAGCAGAAGAGGGGGTGGAACCAGAAGGGACCTGGTGGTGCCAAGAAGTTGGGATGAAGCTGACGCGTGCTTAAGAGAAGTGGGGCTTACGAACCTGGCCAGGCAAGCGGTGCATCTAGAGGGCGTGGTCTAGTGATACAAGATGGAGGGCTACAGAGATGTGCTGGGAATAGACTATTAACGATGGGTCTAGCCTTTAAGCAAGGCTACCTGCCTTACCTGTCTGCGCTGAGCCTCGAGCTGGGCACGCAGGGATCCTGCTCTGCGCAGCTCCTCTTCCAGCTGTCGCGTGCGCTCAGCGTGGCTCGTATTACGCTCCTCCAGCTGCCGCACCTGCCGCCTGAGCTCCCGCAGCTCACCCAGGCGGCGACGGCAGCTGTTCAGAGTGGCCTCCAGCTGCCTTGCACGTTCAGAGGACTGCCTGACAAGGGCATAGGGAGTGGAAATTTCAGAGGCTAGCTGGGATGTTGGGAAGGGTTTCAGCCTGAGGGATTCGCATTCGAGGTGAAGGCCAGGTCTGTTGCTCCACAGGGATCATTAGGGTAACAGGTTATAATGGAAAGGAACTGCACAGACATAGAAGAGCTATGGGATAACAAAGTGAGTGATAAGGACACTTTCGGGCCATGTGAGAGTTGTGAGGAGTCTTCAGAAGTTTAAGAGTATAGAGGACTATAGGAAAGATCTTGGGGATACAGACACAGTAGGTTCACAGGGGGCTGTGATGATACAGTCTTAGAGGACACCCTAGAATCCAGGGGCATGACAGGATCCAAATGGGGAGTCTGGAGAGTATTAAATGGGGGTGGGGAGTAGGGGTTGTGCTGTCAGGTGTTGGCTAATGACACCATGAAACCAAGGGAGCTCCATGGATCCAGGGATCTCTTTGTAGTGGGCCTTAGTGGCCCTGTGTGGTTCAGGATGGCATGTTGGAGCTTAGGAGGTATGGTTTATAAGTCCACTCAGCATTTTGGAATTGGAGGTGCCATAGCACTAGAGAGCACTCTGTGCCAATGTTGCAGGTGTGTGGTGGGCGTTCAGGACCTGCTACCTACCGAAGCTCATCCATCTCGTCCTTTAGCGCTTGAGCCTCCTGGGATAGGCTGGTCAGTGCTTGGTTCCGTTGTTGCAGCTCAGTGACCTCCCGCTCCAGCTCCATGCAGCGCAGCCGCTCATCTTCCCTGCTGCTCTCCAGCCTGGGGTGTCAGGAGAAAGACACACAGAAGGATGCCCTTTGGCCCCAGTGCCCTGGCCCCACCCCCGGCTGATCATACCTGAAGTTCTCCTCCTGCAGCTGTTCCAGCTGTGACTGCAGGAGCAATAGCTTCTTAGCCGTGAGGCCTGAGGCACTCTCCACTTCCGAGCGGCCCACCCGTTCCCGTAGGGCAGCATTCTCTTGTGCCAGATTCTGCTTCTCCTCTGAAAGGAGCACAAGCTGTGGGCGGGGAAGACAGGTGAACTGGAGCATGAACCAGGTTTTATGTAGGTAGATTTATGCAAGTGGCCCTGTTCCCTCAGCCTCACCCACCTGCCGCTCCAGATCCAGGCACTGCTGCTGAAGTTCATTACCCTCCACCTCCTCACTCAGGAAATAGTATCTTCGGGACTGAGGAGATGAACAAGGGGAGGGAGATGAAGGACTTGGGGATCCAGTTAGAAGGGGGGAGGGGAGTAGAAAAGCTGTGATTTCCAGGGACCCTGGGGAAAAGTCAAGGAACCCCAGGATCTCAGAGTGGGCTGGGGTCCTAAGAAAATGGAAGAAGAGTGATTTTCTAACCCTGAGATGGGCCAAGGGGTGAGGCTAAGACTGAAGAGACAGAGATGGTTGACTAAGTTTAAAGATAACCAGCCCCTTTATCAGATGCTCTTCTGTGATCCCAGCTACAAGGAGGCTGAGCCAGGCGGATCTAAAGTTCACTCGTGCTGCCTAGACTACATAAGAACAAGCCTTTCCACCTTAACAGCCAGAGATCCAGGGGTTGGGTTGTGACCTTCAGCAAGTTTCTCTAATTTTACCTGTGTATCAAAGTTCCCATAACTCTCCAGTGACAGGGAATCAGGAGTGTCTTTTGTCATGAGCTGCAGAAGAGGGCACTGTGATGAGCTAGGCTCTCTGACACAACCTTCATTCAAGACTTCTACAAATCAGCCTAGGAGCCTCTCTCTCCCCTTCCCCAAGGCTAGTGTAGCCCAATAACTCCTGCCCAGAGGCTCCCTCTAGTGCAGAAAAAGGCCAACACTTCTGAGGCTACAGGTCTTACAGTTGACATACACAGATCTGGAATGGCTGACTTCTAGGCAGAGACCAGACCTTACCAGGCAGGGTGAGGGTTGTGCCCAGTTACCCAATGTCCCCTCCCCTGACATTTCAGGATTGTTACAGGGGATGTCTTCACCTACCTCCTGGATGGCTTCCATCACTACATGTTGAACAGATTCCTCCAGTGTCATAATTCTCTGGATATACTCTGGGGATGAAGGTGGAAGTGAGAGGCTGAGACCAGAGATGGGTTAGAGCGAAAAGAGCATTTCCCCAGGGTGTCCTCTGAGAACTCTTTGACTTCCTTCCCTCTATCCCTCCTCATACCCTGTTTTTTCTCACAACTGATAGCACAGCCCAGTACCAACTGAAGCAGTTTGCCAAGCTCTGCAGAATCTGAGAGCTCGCCAATGAGGCTCACATCTGGAAGGTGCTGTTCTGATAAAGGATGTCCCAGAACCTAAGAACACAGAAAATGTCAGGGTCACACATGGAACTGTCTCCCAACCCAGGCCCCTAAATCCCTTTGCAGTTACTCACATCCTTTGAGTATTCCATCAAGCTCTGTAAGATCTTCTCCAGTTTCCTGACCTGGTGAGGCCAAGGAGTTATTTATGCATGGATGTCTAGAACAATGCTCCCAAATCTGTCCTCACCCCCGCCCCCAATTTTCTCTCCCTGCTTATCTCCTTGTTGTGTGGTCCTGTTCTAAACATCCTTCTCTGGGCTGATCTGCACTGCCTACACTCAGTGTCTACCTAACCATCTTTATTCACAAGTCCCAGAGTCCAATGGCTTCTTGCTACCTGGCACTACCAATGTTATCTCTCACTTGGATGCCTGTACCCACTGCCTCTCATCTCCCACCTTTTTTGGTGGAGGTGGGGGTGGGGTATAGGAGTTCTGGTGATCAAACCCAGGGCCTTAGGTATGGTAGACAAGGGCTTTCCCACTGAGCCATACTTCCTGCCCCTCACTGCTGAATTCTAGGCAAGCTGTTGCCCGCCAAAGTGCATTCCCAGCCCTTCATCTATTCTTGCTGTCTACTCTGCATTCCTCCCCAAGCAGCTAGGGGGAACTTCTAAATGGCTAAGCCAGGCTGTATCTTTCTTTTGCTAAAACCATTCCCTGCCTTTCCATAGTACTTGAAATAGTCCTTGCCAGGCATTGTGGCCTTTACCTTTAATCCCAGCACTCGAGAGGCAGAGGCAGGCGGATCTCTGTGAGTTTGAGACCAGCCTGGTCTACAAGAGCTAGTTCCAGGACAGCCTCCAAAGCCACAGAGAAACCCTGTCTCGGAAAAAGAAAAAATAATCTACTACCTCCTTAGATGGGTTTCTCTCTGTGTATCTCTGGCTGTCCTGAAATTCATGCTATAGAGAGATCCGCCTATCTCTACCTCCCAAATGTTAGGATTAAAGGCTTGTGCCACCACTGCCCCACTGTTTTTTTGTTGTTCCTGTTACTGTTGTTAGGATTTATTTTGTTTTTTAAATTACTGTGTGTATCTGTGTGTGCACCTGCCTGCAGAGGCCAGAAGTGTCAGATCCCCTGAGGCTGGAGTTACAAGTGGTTCAGAGCTGCCTGATATCTGTGCTGGGAATTGAACTAGAATGCTCTGGAAGGGCAGTATTCATTCCTGACCACTAAGCTATTCCTACAGCCCAGTTTTGTTTTTTGAAACAGCATCTCTTGTGGCTCAGAATGGCTTCTGACTTGCTGTGTAGCTACCAAGATTGACCTTGAGTTCCTGATCCCCTTGCCTCCTAAGTCCTGGGATCCCCTGTGTGCCACCTGGCCCGGCTATCATCCCCACTGTATCCCCTGCTACTAAAGATGGAACTCAGGACCTTGTATAAGGTGAGAAAATTCTCCATTGCTGAGCTACATACCTGCTCCCCACCTTTAAAGTTTTAAGACAGGATCTTAACAAGTTGCCCAGGCTGATGGAGAATTTGCCATCCTCCTGACTCAGCATACCAAAATAGCTGGGATTATAGGCATTTGCCACCACACCTCTTGGAAGTTAACAACTGTTTGTGCATGTGCTTTTTGCCCACATCAAAAGAATGATGGCAAGTTTTTGTCTATGGTGGGTACTCAACATAAAGAACAAAAATAGCTTGCTGATCACCAGACTTCTGGCCCTTCTCCTGCCAGGTCTGCCTGTCCATTATGCAGGACATGTGTATAGCTGACCCTTTACGATCACCTAAGTCCATCCTCTAGTTATTCCCTGGTCATGAGTCCATGTGTCACCTTCAACCTCCAGCTGGGACTTGGGTCCTCTGAGATGCCCTGGAGCCACGCTTCATTGAACCAGGAAGGGTCTCTAGGGAAGGAAAGGTGATGAGCTGGCTGGGGAGCCCTTTGGGATCCTCCCACTCAGCCCCCCACTCACATCTGATTCAGCACATGGGCTATGGCGAGTCCGTTGCTCAGGTCCTGGGGGCTGGCACAGGGGGGTGGAACTTGGAACGTCTGCAACTAAAGGGGGCCAGAAGGGGCAACAGGAAAATTCAAGATCTGGAACACTTCTTTTGCACACTTTACCCTAGCCATCAAGACACCCCACAGTGAGAGGGGGCGTGGCTTCTACACACCTGGACAGGAGGGGGCGTGGCCTCCCTTCACTTAGTCCGACAAACCCTGCAAGCCTAAGTCAGGAGGTTACCACGAGTCACCTGGTCCCCACAGCTAACATGTGACCAGGCCTGTGCGCCAGAGGGGCGGGGCCTCACCTGTTCTTGCCTCTCAGGCCTGCCCACGTGACAGGAGCAGGTGGTCAGGTCAAAGTCCAACGGCCCAGCAAGCCTATGACCTATTCCTCCTTCCAGCCCCAAGACAGAGAAGAGAAGACCAAGACAGGGCGAGAAGAGAGGGCACACACCTGACCCAGCCCCGCCCCCCAGACCTACCCAGGTGAGCAGAGACCCGCATAGCTCGGCCTTGTCCATACTCACGGCTCCGGATCGAATTCGATCCGGGCCAAGGAGCCCCGGCGCGCAGCAGCAGCCTCCGGGTCCGCCACCAGCGAGCGCCTGAAGCCCAGACCTCCCGCTCGGCCTAGAGCGCCGCCCCGCTCCACCCCGCCCCCTAGGCAAGGCTCCGCCCCAGACACGTGATCTCTTCCAAATGCGAGCCCCTGCCTCTCTTCCCGCCCCCTCGCCATCTTGAATGCCGCACGTTAGGCGAGCACAAATCCTGCCGCTAGGTGTCAGTTTGGCCCAGGCGTGCGGATGGCACAGTGGTGGCTCCTCGTGGCCTGTTTCTGAGATGGAGTGGTCCTCGTGGTCCTTCTAAGGCGGACCTACCGCACTTAATTTCACAGGCACATTCATGTTCTTTCCCCGAAGCTGGAAGAAACCTTCCTGTTAATGATAGCCGCGTTATGATCCGAGCCTTTCTTTACATGGGCGGAGAGATACTAATAAAAGAGTCTTCCCCGGAGAAGTGACTCTGGAGTGCTTCAAGAAGAAACGGGTGTGGTCGGGAGCAGGAAGGGTCAAGCAGGCACGTATGCTGAGTGAAGGACACACGCGCTTGCCCAGCCGGGAGTCAGCCCCTTCGGTTGAGCTCCCGGCTCCTCCCGTCCCTCCCCAGTGCTTCCAGCATCTTGCCTTGAAATACTTGGCTGGGCCCAAGCTGTGGGTCGCTTGAAACCCACCAGGGGGCGCGCAAACCGCTGGTAAACCTTCAGGGAAAAGGGTGCCTCCACCGGTTGAGCCCGCTTAGATGATCGCAGAGGGCTCAAAGAAAGAATTACCAACAATGGTCTCAAGACATCATTTGTGGAGTGCTTACTCTTTGCAATCTTACATTAAACTATATTCACAGACAATCGAATGTCCTTCATGACCCTAAGAGTCAAGGGCTACTTTAATTCCCCGTTTTCTGTTTTCTTAATTTTAGAAACTTATATTTTTTTTAAAAAATTCAAATCCCACGTTTTGCCGATGACTAAAAACGGCTACAAGTACACCGGCTTTCGCCAGGGGTAAAGTCCCAGACCGCGCCCTTTGACCCCTGGGTCCACTGACAGCCCCTCCCCCGCAGGAGGGTGGGGTAATATGCTGTAATTAGAGGTTATTAGATGTGCCCAGAGGGAGGAGCGGGCAAGCTCTGCCTTGGGGCGGGTTCAGGTCGGGTGGGGAGGGGGGCGATGTTGAGCCCGGATCCAGCGCATCAAGCGCATCAAGCGGAGTCCGGGGATCCAGCGACCCTGTCCCAGTGGGGTGAGTCCAGTGACATCAGCCTCCCTCCCTCAGTCTTACAAGAGAATTGTCAGTCTACCACAGACACTCGATTACAACCCACTCAAACTCTCAGCTGCACACACCAGGGAGCTTGGAAGCTGATTCACACTTCCACAACCCCTTCTTCACGCCTTGTTTTCCAGACTCCAGTCTCTGGGAACTTGTGGAGAGGGATAGAGAGGGGAATGTGCTTTGGAACTGGACTGGCTTTCCCTGGGGTTGGGGGGTGCTGCAGGCCCACCAGAGAAGTTAATACCCCAAAGTGGAAACAAAGCTATGCTATCCTACACACAGAGACACACACTCATAGTCAGGAACCATGACGATCACAAGAATGTGTGGCTGACATCTGGGACATCTAAAATTCGGGGTGAGGCATTGCAGTGATTTTGAAGTTTAGAAGAAATCTGAGAATCCAGGTATTTGTGTATGGGAAGGTGACTTATTGTTTATTTTTTGGCTTTTCTATTTTTTTGTTTTGTTTTTCAAGACAGGGTTTTTCTTTGTAACTGTCCTAGATCTCACTCTGTAGACCAGGCTGACCTCAAATTCACAGAGATCTGCCTGCCTCTGTCTCGAGTGCTGGGATTAAAGATGTGTACCACCACCATCCAGCTGGGTGGGTGACTTAGTGACGTTATAGGCATCCAAGATGTCAGGAAGTCAAGACTTAAGTAAAGGTAGGGTGGAAGAGGAAGGTGGATCTCTGAGCTCGAGGGCAGCCTGGTCTACAGAGAGAGTTCCAGGACAGCCAGGCCTACACACAGAAACCCTGTCTGGAAGACACAGAAACAAACCTGAAAAAAAAAAAAAAAGATTTAAGCACTGGGGAGGCAGAGGCAGGTGGATCTCTGTGAGTTCGAGGCCAGCCTGGTCTCCAGAGCAATTGCCAGGATAGGCTCCAAAGCTATACAGAGAAACCTTGTCTTGAAAAAACAAAAACAAAAACAAAAAAAAAGATTTAAATGAAGGTTAGGAGCTGAGTGAGATGGTACCTACCTTTAATTCCAGCAAGGGCCAGATAGAGGGACCCTATGTCAAATAAATAAGTAGATACATAACCAAATAAATAAATGAAGGTACTTCACTCTCTTCTGGGGAAGGAGCCCCTTGAGTCAGCAGGGAGTCCCAGCTTTTGGGGGAAGAAAAGGAAACTGTGATGTTGGCAGCAGGGAAAACTTACAATCTGTTTTTACGACCAAGGAGCCATGCTGTGGATTTAAGTACCTTTAATTCTTTAAAAAGAGCCACAAACCTTTCCTTTGCTACTGACCTCATATTTAGAAGGATGCCAGTGAATTTTAGACATAGTGAACCTCAAAGTTTGCTGAGATCTAACGGCCTCCATTTGTAGGAACCAAGAGTCCCCACTCTGCAAGTTTGGATCAGTAACCTCTAGCTGGTTTGGGGATCCCACCTCCTCCTACTTGTTTCCAGGGACAGCTGGGCCCAGCCTGGGTTGTAATGCTGGGAAGTGAGTGACTCAACCCCTCCCTAAGGCCACAGCTGGACCCTAGCCCATCCCCTCAGCCTGCACATCTGGACTTTGATCCAGTCATCACAGCTGGGATGGGGACCCTGAGTTCTACAACCAGAGGATACTCCCTCCCCCTCCCCATTGAGTATGTAAAACCCTCTGTGTGAATTCCATGTACCATTACCATGGAAACACTGACAGTTTTCCTATGCCCAGTCACTCTAGTTCTGCAGAAGCTCCTATCCTGCTCCTGCCCCACCACGTTGTGTTCCTAAGTCAAGGGAAATGTGTTTATATCTGTGTAGGTGTGAGGTGGTGGGTTTATGATTGGTTTAGCCTCCACTTGTGTCTTGGGATTCTTGAGTTTGTACAACTGAGTATGTGTGTGTGATTTGATGGCTGTCAGGAAGTTCAGGGCATCAGTCTGTGCATAATACACCAGTTTACAAGATGTAGGGGCTAGAGAGATGGCTCAGGGGATGGTAACATCACTTGTGTCTGCTGAGGACCCAGTTTGGTTCATGTGGCTCACAACCAGCCATAACTTCAGTACCAGGAGATTTGACATACTTAGGCACATACTTGGTGCACATACATGCATGTAGGCCAACACTCATAAGAATTTTAAAAAAGAATCTAAAAAAGAAGCTTGAAAAAAAAGCTAGGGGTAGTGGTGCATACCTGTAAAATCTACACCTGGGAAGGGCAGACAAAAGGATCAGGAGTTCAAGGCAAGTTGGAGGTGAGTCTGGACATCCTAAGATAGTGTCTCAAACACAGTAAGCACAGGTCAGCTTGGTAGTCACCTTTAATCCCAGCACTCAGAAGGAAGCAAATGGATCTTTATGAGTTCAAGCTCAGCCTGGTCTACATAGTAAGACCCTGTCTCAGAAACAACAAACCAAAAATGTGGTTACCCAGCCTTGGTGGCACACACCTTTAATCCCCAGCACAAGGAAGGCAAAGGCAGGTGGATCTCTGAGTTCAAGGCTGAGTTCAGTTGACCTACTTAACAAGTTTCAGGGCTATAGAGTGAGACCCTGTCTCAAAACAAACAAAAATTCGGGTTTAGGGATACCAGGGAGCCTCATCCACATCCCCTTGTGTTTCTCTGCATACTTCAAAGTCTAGGAGACTGTTCTGTTCTGATTTTGTCTTCTTGTGTCTGCCAGCTACAACCTCTGAGGATGATCCTTCTTTTGGGTCACTGTGTTATTCTTTGTGTGAGAAATGTATGACAATTGGTGCCTCAGGTTGGTATTAGGATCTATGTCTGTAACCATACCCTACTTCTTGTTCTCCAATTTGGTAGACTCCATGTTTCTGAGAAAGGGGACTGTTTTATTAGACACTACTTGTCTCCAGCTTTTGTTTTTCTGTGATAATGTGCCCTTATCATGGGTCCCGGCTTATCATACCCCTTTAAACAGTCTAAGTATCTGTGTGTGTCGCCTGTGGTAACTCAGTGATGACATGGCTGTCTCTACCATGCGTCTCAGCCATAATTTCCATGTGAGAGGTACTTGTGGGACAGTCCAAATCCCAGGTGACAGAGGCTGTTATACATTGCCTCAATGGTATAGCATATATAAACTTTGGTGTGTGCATATGGTTATGTTTGTGTGTCTACCACATCCCTTTATATGGCAGATGTGCTGAGAAACTGCTTCTAGGTGTAAGTCCCTGTGTGACTGTGTGACTGTGTGACTGTCAATGCTCGCAGGGCTGCCTAAACAGGGTTCCTGCTAGAGTGTGTCAGGTGTATTCTGTGCCTGTGTGACACTGTGGGTCAGAATTGTTTGTGTCCTTGTGTGTGGATGAGGGTGTCAAAGTCACACAAGACAGCCAACTCAGTGGATGAAGGACATGAGCACCACCGTCGCTCTCCGCCACTGTCCCTCTGGGAGGACTCCACCCCGCACTGCGGGGGCGCGTGCGTCGTTCGTGACGTGAGACACGACGGAGTTCGCTGCGTGCGTGGACCCGACGCGGTCGTGCGTGCGAGTACAAGCCGGGGGTGGGGTGTCTGTACGCGTGCTTGAGAGCACGGGGGCAGCCGCGGGAGCGCGCGGGGCCCACTGCTGCGGAGCCAGAGACTTTGGAGCGCAGGTGAAACTCTGAGGGAGGGGGGAGTACTGCCGTTAACCCCTTCCTGCCCGACCTGAAACTCGGGGCCCCAGGGTCGAACGAACGGGGGCTTCCCCAGCTCGCTGGGCGGGGCAGTCCCTGCTGGGAAGACCTTCCTCCAGAGAGCTGAGCCACCCCCCCTGTTGCCATGGAAACAGCTTCCTGGATCACCCGGGCCCTGGCTTCCTCCGGCTCTGCCCTTCCTCCCTCCGACCATGTGC